TTAGCAGTTTGTCCTTTTTTTTTATTTTGAAGAGCATAATGGTTGGAATTAAAATTCATCTCTTCCCTCCGACCACACAAAAATGTCATAAATTGAGGCAATAAATTATCGCTATGGGTTGCTGTGAAATTAACACTTATATATGGGAAATAAAACTGAAAATTTATAGTGGCAATCAATCTACTTTAATGTATGTAACTTCATCATCTGTTTTATTTACTTTCTTTCCTTCTCTCCCCTTCCCTAACCAAAAAACCCCCCCTTTTTCAGGAACGGCAAAATTGAAAAGCAAATGGCTTGTTATGAATGATATTCTAGCCATTGCAAAAATGTCACGTTACAAGAACTATTAAGGGATGTAAGGCTATTGATTAATGAAGACTGCACCAAGGTGGAAAAAATATCATTGCCATGTGAGTAACCGCTGGGGGCATAAAACATTGAAGCTTAAGATCTGCAATATATCAATAAGATAATTAAGGGCACCTTTTCTAAACTTACACTTTCCAGTGATACTGAAAATGTTCAATTTCCACAGCTGGAAGGCACAATATTTGGACAAATGTATGGAATTTACATGACCAGAATTTCAGTACAAATGGAATCCACATACCCAAGATATAAAGATTAAAAACAATGCCGGAACTACCTAAATGTTAGCAAATATAATAAAATCTATTTTGATGAGAAGTGAGCTCATAATCCATTATTAAGGAAACTTAGTTTTTAATTTGAAATAGCACACATTTAAAACGTATATTTAATTTTAATTGAAAATTGTATTTATATCACTGATTTTTGTGAATATTTCTTGCTTTGTGCTCTGTATGAAGCTTTTTCTGGATCTTCTATAAATATACATCATTAAATACTTATTAAAGCATTTTAAACCTTTGTAGGCAAATATTTGGTTTCAGAAAATTATTGACCTTCACATTTCTGTTCTGAATTATGGTTTATTTGACCTAAAAGTAAAATAGGATTTCTTTTACATATTTACATAGTACAAATAACAAACTTGCTAAAGACTGTACGTGATATAAAGGAGCAAAATAGGCTTCTCTTTTCATACACCGAAATCCAGATTATAACCACAGGCAAACTGGCAGGCCTGAATTCAGTTTTTATCTAAAGGCAATTTATTTTTTACTTTGGTATCGAAACTGAAAATCAATGACATTTGAGTTAAGAAGTGTTTTTAATGTTAGAAAGGATATTTTATAGCACATCCCAGGATTATGCCATTAGAAACTTCACCACAATCTGGTTTTAAGTTGAAGGAGTTTGCATGTTATCTATACAAGAAAGTACTTTTTTTGTTGTTGTTCAAATCTGAATAAAAGCTCCAGACAGTTTTCAATAACAAGCTGTGGGTTGGAAGTATAGAAGAAAACCATGGGAAAGAAAGCAGAATTGGCAAAAGATTTGTTATTGCCAGTGCTTTATCTAAGAGATGTTACCGCACGAAGAATGAAAATATGAGGTACAGGGGTTCAAAGCCACAGTATGTGCATACTAGTTGGGAAATTCCAACCACAATTTTGATCATTTTAAATCATAATGAGAAAATGATTGTTTGCTCAGGATGTCTACAATGAACCAAAAGAAGGGGAATGAAGACCAAGATAGAGCGATGAAAAAGGATGGCAAGAGATATTGAATAGTTTTTAAATGTTGTCCATCTCTATGTATGGAAATGGCTCAAGTGAATAATATAAACAATATGTATAATAGCTGTCCAATTAAAAAAAATCCAGAAGCTTCCGATCATAATTAATTGGAAGATTTAATTTAACAGTGACAAAATAGGCACTAAATATCACCCAATATTTTATAGGTGACTATTCTGTAAATGACAACCATTCCCATTAAAGCAAAATATTTGAATTAGTGTTATTCTTTCCTCAACACAAACAACAAATAGCACTATGACAAATTCAACTACCGTTTGAATAATAGAAACGGCAACATTTGTAAGTGCAAAAACCTAATGCTAGATTGAATTGTTAAATTAGGAAATCTCTATTTATGGACTGAAAAAAAGTGACAAATCTTCTCAAGTTAGAATTGATGGGAAAATCTGAACTGTTTACATAATAACAATTAATTGTTAACCAATGAATCTTAGATACAAACAACAAATACTACTGGAACTGCATCTATTTTGAAAATTATTAAAAGGCCAGTTGATATATTTTACATGGAAAAAATATGTGGAATAGTTCAGACGCAACAGTAGCTTCATCTATGTTATAGTTTGCAAACCAAGCTTCAGAAATATAGCAATAGGAATAGCACTTAGACTTATATATTGCTTCCCAGTGCTTTTACAGGCCTCTCTAAGCAGTTTATAGAGTCAGCCTATTGCCCCCAACAATCTGGGTCCTCATTTTACCCACCTCGGAAGGATGGAAGGCTGAGTCAACCTTGAACCTGGTGAGATTTGAACTGCCAAACTGCAGGCAGCCGGCAGTCAGCAGAAGTAGCCTGAAGTACTGCACTCTAACCACTGCGCCACCACAGCTCATATGTGTTAATCTGGCACATATTTCTGTGTCATCTTGTTTCAGTGTTCCAGCTTCGTGAAAACTAACCACCAATAACCATGAACATTCTCTGAAGCAGAAGAACAAAAGACAGCTGAACGAAAAACAATATATGCAAAGAAAACCTTCCACAGCATTTATCCAACTGTTCTTGATAGCATGAAAAACAAGGAAGTATCTCCTACCCGTTTTGGTGTTGATGGCAAAAAAGTTTTGGGGGTTTCCACTTGTAATCCTGTACGTCATCCTTTCAGTAGTGCTGGAATCAGGATCTTGTGCCTGTATCTGAATGACTGAAACATCCTTCGGGGAATTTTCCAAAACAGACGGATAATAAATGGGTTCGGAAGTCAAGGGCGCATTGTCATTTACGTCTTCCACTTCAATGTAGACCTCAATGGTGGTATAAAGAGGAACAACTCCACGGTCTGCGGCATACACGGTTAGCCAGTAGGACTGAGTTGTCTCTCGATCAAGGATATCGCCTGTGTATATAACTCCTGCAGAACAAAAGGAGAAAAAAAAAATACATGGAATTGCAGAAAACAGCAATGAATCCATATTGTTTCTTGTCTTGTCTACAGGTGCTTTGGTAAATAAGTAAATACCCTCGTCTTTGTGGTAGCCCCTCAGATACTGGCAGACTGCTATCATGTTACTCCTAGTCCTTCTTTTCTCTAGACTAGGGTGTCAAAGATGTGGCGTGCAGGCTGGATCCAGCCCGCGATAGGCCACGTAGTTGGTCCGTGAGCTGTCCTGGGAACAAGGGACCGGACTCTGATGCCCTAGGCCTGGCCTGGCCCACCCAGTTAGTCGCGACGACCAGGCCATGCCCAACCTGTCCCAGAGGGCAAACAAAATCCCGATGCGGCCCTTGACGGGATCGAGTGTGAAACTCCTATTCTAGACAAGCCAACCCAAATCCTGCCATCGTTCTTCGTATATTTTTGCCTCCAGGCCTTTAATCATCTTAGTTGCTCTTCTTTACAAATTTTCCAAAATCTCAACATCTTTTTTGTAACATGGTGACCAAAAACTGTAATTTGCAAGTGTTTTCTGGGTAGTCTATTTGGAAAGGGTGAGAACATCAGTTGCAAAAACCTGCTTCTGATAACCACAGTAATATTTCCATAACTGAAACCCTTTTCCAAAGAGCGAATTTGCTTTCCAATGAGACACACATATTTTAGCAGGCCACATCACCTTCTCACTTGGATATTCTCATCCACCCACCCATAATGCTCATTACTTCCATTCCCATCTACTGCACAGACTGTCTCCTTCCCATCCACCACATGTGCTTGTAATCCCACCCCCTCACCAACATACTTTTGGCTTCTTCTCTTTCTCACAATGTGTCCTCTTTTTCTTTTATCCCCCTCCCCCCAATTCCCTGTCTTTTGTTTCAAAAACTCTATATTAGGGAACAGTGCAAACACATTCCGATTTGGGGGGTTTTATGGGTCTCAAACAAGCCTCCAGTTTTTTAAAAAAATAATATAATTGTCCAGAATATTCCTGTACACCCCCAGTTAAAGTTAAATTGGAAAGTGGACCAAAATTTTTAATTTCCCCATATTTTCTGTATCTCATCCCTTCCTCTGGAAAAACTGTACCACGTCGATGTGCTTAACGAATACTCCGCATGTGAAAAACAACAGAGTACACTTGTACTTGATTCAAACACAATGTGCCCCTATTCACAAGTTCAAAATATTCTTAAGACTTTTGACCACATGCCAATGTAGCTCTTATGTGTGATAGGAAATTAAAATCTGTGATCTGTTCCCAGTTTTCTATAAATAGTTTCTTCCAAACTTCCACTACAGATTGGTTTCAGCATATTAAGGATGCCACAAAAGAATTTTTCTAGCAGATTTAGTTATCTGTATTCCCTCCTGATAAAGGTTTGAAATTATAGTAATCTTTGGCTTACAAGCCCAATTTCCTTTGCTAAGCAAGATGGTTGTTAAGCGAGTTGAGCCCAATTTTGCAGCCTTTTTTTTGCCATGGTTGTTAAGTGAATCATGCAGTTGTTAAGTGAATGTGGCTTTGCTTGCCAGAAGGTTAGGTTAGGAAGATTGCAACTGGAGATGATATAACCCCGGAGTGCTGCAACTTTTGTAAATACATGCTGGTTGCCAAGCAGACGGATTTTAATGACATGACTATGGATAAGTGCAAGGACTGGTCATAGTCCTTTTTCAGTGCCACTGTAATATCGAACAGTCACTAAATGAATGGTTGTAACTTGAGAACTATCTTTATAGGGCAACACCGGTAGTGAGGGCTGAAGGCAAAATTTAGGCCAAAAGCCCAAAACGGGAAGCATTTAATAAGCTGGACGATCAATTAAAGTACATCAGGATCTTAAATATGTGAATATTTTCATTAGCCAAAAAGTCCTTTTTTAAGAAACATTTTCCTTTTTCACTGGGAAGAAAAAGTGGAGATTGAACCGAGCGGTTTAAGCCAAAGTTGAGACACAATGCCTACCGATAATTCAGAATGGCATTCAAACTGGCAAGGTTTTGAATAGCAAATGACAAATAGTTGAAAACTTGGAGAATCCAGGTCAGTTATGCAGCAATAATTTTGCTTTGTGTTCTCCTGCTTTGAAGATTGTTTCTGAACTGGCATTTTTATTGCATAACAAAAGGAGCTCAAAATACACAATGGCTATCACTGTAGCATGTTGGCGGATGAAGCGATTCAGACAGGCAATAACAAAACAAAAGCTTTCACACAGCCCTAATCAAAATAGCTGATTGCCAGTACATAAATATATCTCCAGCTGCCTGAAGGTTTTAGTGGGAAGGAGACAATGGACATAGGCAAGAGAGAAGCAGGAAGATCCCAGAGAAGAAGAAAAAAAACTCAGTCAATGCAACTATATCAGCCCCGAGTTGGTGAATAAAGGCTCATTCCTGCGAGTAGTTTATTAGTAGCGGTACTGAGTCCTTGGAGATTTTTTTGATGCGTGTCCGTATGTGTCTCTCTGCGTGTCATGGTATCTTCTAGATCAGTGGTTCCCAACCTTTTCTTTCGCCCCATACCCCTAAAGAAATTTCACTCAAACCTCGCACCCCCTGAAATTTAGACTTTAGGAACTACTGAACGCGTTAAAATATATGGTAGGATTGAACCTTTTCAGCGATGTATGTGACAGCCACTAAATAACGATACTTAACTCTAAAATGAAAACAAAGTTAATCCATTGCATAATAAATAAAAATGCCAACATATAGCCAATATCCTATTATTTACCTGGACTTTTCTCGCACCCCCTAGAATATCGTCTCGCACCCCCAGGGATGTGTGTGTGTGTGTGTGGAGCAGGGGTGTCAAACTCACGTCACCATGGCATCGCCATGTGACTTATCGCAACTCCCCCCTTCCCCTTTGCTAAACTGGGCATGGGTGTGGCCAGCGTGTGACACATCCAGTTCATGGGCCGTGAGTTTGATAACCCTGTTCTAGAGAAAAGAAGGATTGGGGTGACAGGATAGCAGTATTCCAGTAATTGAGGGGCTGCCCCAAAGAAGAGGGCGTCAACCTATTCTCCAAAGCACCAGAACGAAAGACAAGAAACAATGGATGGAAACTAATCAAGGAGAGAAGCAACCTCGAATTAAGAAGAGACAATTAACCAGTGGAACGATCTGCCCTCAGAAGTTGTGGGCATTTCATCACTGGAGATTTTTAAGAACAGACTGGACCGCCATTTGTCTGAAATGGGATAGGGTCACCTGCCTTCAGCATGGGGTTGGACTAGAAGACCTCCAAGTTCCCTTCCAGCTTTATTCTGATTCTGATCCTTGAACGATCAACAGTTTCCCAAGCCTGAGGGACTGGCTCATGTTACAGCACAGCATTTGTCTTAAAACTGGGGGGAACTTTGGGTTACCTCCAAATTATTTCCAAATGAACCGGAACGCCATCATAACACCAATGCACCTGTTTGGTACTTTTATTCCCTTATTTGCAAAAAGCTAAACCGGAAGATAATCCAAGGATTGCCATGTTTTCTTTACATATGGGAAAATCATTATAAGCCTTAAATAAATGCTTGCTGGGGGGAGGGGGGGGGGAGGACATTTTCAACCAAAAATGGATGAGACGAACTTAACTCATTAATTTATATTCTGTGAAAGGATTCAAGGACACAGAGTAAATTGCCAGTATCAACTGCTATTTATTATTTTCTCTCTGGCTTTTAAATAAAGTTTCCTTTGAGTTAAGCTTAGTTCCTGATGACTGTTGACACTTCCACATGATTTCCTTCTGAACGATACGGAAACAAATAGAAGAATATTTGCAGCTCAAGGTTGAAATCTGGGGAGGTTGGAGTTCTCTGAGCTTTGTTGTTTTCTTGCAGACATTTCTTTACCAAACTGGGTAACATCCTCGGTCTTAGTCACTAGCACTGATGATGTTACCTAGTTTGGTAATAAAATGTCTGTGAGAAAACAACCAAGCTCAGAGAGCTCCAAGGACCCTGCAGTATAGAAACCATTTGAGCAGGGGTGGGATTCAAAAATTTTAACAACCGGCTCTGTGGGAGTGACTTATTTGGTGGGCATGGCTGGGTGGTCATGTGACCGGGTGGTCATGTTATTGGCTGGGTGTGGCCAACTCAATATCTTTTACATCGAGGCACGCATCACCTCGCCTGGCCTCTCATGACTGTGGGGATGCTGCAACAGTCGTAAGTGTGAAAAATGGTCATTAGTCACTTTTTTCAGTGCCATTGTAACTTTGAATGGTCACTCCACACAAGCAAAGTACCAGCAAAGGAGGGGGGAAAAACTCCAGAGAAGTTCCTGAGACAGGAAGTCTAGGCCTGCCAAGAATGTAATAAGGGTTAATGGAGAGACAGTTTCTTTAAGCAACACCAGAAGGTTTCCTTCCTGCCTTCCTTACAGGATTAGGCCAATAATTTCTTCTAACAACTAGTTCCCCGAACTGCTTAGGGTGTTAACAACTGGTTCTAGTGAATAGGTGCGAACTGGTAGAATCCCACCCCTGCGTTTGAGCTTCATTTATAGGATTTCTTTAAGTTTAGCTTATAGCCCTAGGAGTTTTTGGGTGGCCTCCCCTCCCAATACGATCCAGGCTTCACCTTTTTGAGATCAGTCAAGGTTGACTAGATGGACATTCATAAATATGAATAATGAACTTAATGAAAGAAGTTAAAGTCAGGTTGATGATCAGAAAATATATTACAACTACTGCTGATGAACTATAATTTTGCAATGTGGACTTGGCCATATATTTTAACACGGTCCGTCTGGACCTATCTCTACAGGTAATCCTCGACTTACAACAGTTCCTTTAGTGACTGTTCAAAGTTACAACAGCACTGAAAAGAAGTGACTTAAGACCAGGGATGGGATTCAAAAATTTCAGCAACCGATTCTCTGCCCAGTTGCTGGGTGGGCGTGGCCATGATGGGCATGACCTACAGGAAATTTAGGAAGGCCTATTTTTTGCCCCCCCC